GGGATAATTATGATGGAGAGGAGATAGTCCTTATTGAAGACTTGGACCCTCAAGTCTGTAAACTCCTCGTCCATCATATTAAGCTTTGGGCTGACAGATACCCTTTTAGAGCTGAAATAAAAGGGGGTTCTGTCAGATTAGAGCCAAGGTTTCAATTTATTGTAACCTCTAATTATTCCTTGGCTGAGTGCTTTGAAGGACCTGATGGTGCTGCTATTGCCAGAAGGTTTGATGAGTGGGAGATGATGTCTGAAGAAGATTCTCTCTCCTTCACTTGGAAGAGTGTGACTCTTGACTAGTTTAATTAACTAATTCTTTTTCTATTTCTTTTAGTTTTCTATTTTTATTTTTGAATAATTCATTTATTTTTCATTTAAAACTCATAGAGTGTGATGATTCACCACGTATTTAAACCTCATTTTCTAATAATTCTCATATGGCTCGTTTAAAGAAGAGAACAACAAGAAGAAAGACTTCTAAAAGACCTACTGTTCGTCGTGGTAGGCGTGTATATAAACGACGTGTATATAGAAAAAGAAGAAGATATTATAGACGACGCCGGTTGTTATCACAACCAAATACTGTTAAATTGAAGAGTAAGCTTGTTTGCTCAATAGTAGAGTTTATTGCTATTCCTGAGAGAGATAGTTTACCACAAATATTGACTATGGCTGCTTATCCTTCTAATAATGGAATTGCTGTACCTGTTCAAGAAGCTGAATTAGATTTTAGAATGATTGGACAGAAATTTATGACTGTGCAGTCTGTAGATACTGCTAATAGTATTTTAAGAACAGAGCAAATAGCATTATCACCACCTATTTTTGTAGCATGGAATCCATATTTAGATCATAATGTAATGGGAAATCTATGGGATTCTTATTGTGATATGTATGATTATTGGAAATTTAGTGGAGTAAAGGTTAAATGGATACCAAAGGTTAAAACGAGTGTTGCTTTACCTTATATGCCTAAAAGTATTGCTACTAATTCAAGTCAAGTTATTTGAACGGGTGGAAGTACTGTTAATCTTGTTATAGATCCTGTACAACGTTTAAATGCATTTGATTATGATAAAGATGCTACTGGATTACCATATTATCCACAAGTAACATTTAATATGCATGTGTTATTTGAAAAAGATAATTATTATTCAATGGAATTACCAACTGATCCAGAAAGTATGGATTATACATTAACATGTAAAGATACTAGATATAAATTAAAGAACTTTGATTATGGACCTAATAAGCCTAAGACTTATAAAGTATATGATATGACAAAGCCATTTAAATTCTATGTTAAGCCTTATTTAGAAGATAAGGTAGA